CAAACCACACAAAATGGCTTTAGATTCACCAAATCAACATATATGTGTTTTATAGTAATGTAGCATACACACATCAGAGTTAGTTTTAGCATTATCTAATCTGGCAGTGGAAATTTGCTTCTTTGTACTTGCCACTAAAAATCAACAAATAAGTCAACATAGAAATCATAGTGCAGACCTCATTTTCTGAAGTATTTTCGAATTCCTTGTTCTTTTTTATATAACTTGTAGACAAGATGACCCTACAGAATTTATTCTCCCTTTCCCCACAGAACTATAGATTGTGAATGTTAAATCAGTGCTTTTTACTACAGCAGTCTGGTCCTCCCCAGTAAGCAATGAGGAATTTAATACAAAATACATGATTAATTTAATAAAAAGTATATGATGTATACCAGTAATTAAAGAAAAATTAATAATCAATGTTTGATAGTGAGCATAAGAAACTACAGTGGCTGCATAATAAAAAAAGAACGCATAGCATGCCACTGTTCAAAAAAAAAAAAAATAGAGAGGCCCTCAGTGCATGGAGGACCCAATCAGAAGCCCACCCAGACCACAGCTGCACAGGCGCACAAGCCCCAGCCAGAGGTCCTCCCAGATGTCACCCTAAGTACGCACAGACCGCAGTCAGGGCGCTCCCCAGACACCAGTGTATGGGCTCTCAGGCCCCACCCTGGGGCCTGCCCAGATACCATCGGTAAGGCTTACAAGCCCTGCCATAAGACCTGAAAACAGCCGCTCAGGCACCCAGGCCCAAGCAAGAAGTCTGCCCAGATATCACTGGTAAGTACACACACAGCACATCCAGACGCCTGCTGTAACAGTAGTGGCCCCAGCCAGAAGACTACCTGGACAACAGCCAAGCACAGGGATCAAGAAGGTCATCATTCTGAATCCAGGACTGGCACAGTGGTGAGCAGCAGAGAGGACTCTCTTGAGGCTTGCTGAGAATTGAAGCCCACTGAGGAAGCAAGACTCACCTCAATAAAGGCAGAATTGACCGCAGCATTTGAAATAAGGAGACACCTAAACAAGACTCAAAACCAGACTTCCAGGTCGCCAAAGGCAACCCCAAAGGGCAAGGAGACAAAACAATCTAAAACTCAACCAATTGAACTCCTTGAAATGGCAATTAAAAAAGGATCTGGGAAAAATAAAATCAGAAATACTTTCTCAGTGTCTACAATGAAAGACATGATTAATAACTCTAGAGCAGACAAGATTTTAAAAAACATGGAGGAGCTAAGGAACATGATGAATCCCAGCATAGGAAACAAATGGAATCTACAAAACAGAGGCAAACCAATATCCAGGCTATTAAAAAGTCCATTGAAAGTTTACACAATAGAACGAGCCAATGTGAGGATAGAATATCAGATATAGGAGACAGGATTACAATTAGTATCCAGGAAATCAAAGATTTTTTAAAAATAAGAGGCTATGAGAAATTAATTCAACAGCTCCTTGATGATGTAAAGATAACGTAAGATTGATCAGTCAATGAAGAAACAGGAGGGAGTACAAACAACAGAAAAAAAAGTTCACAGAAGAATTGGCAGAAAACTTCTCAAGCAGGGGAAAAGAACTTTACCTACAGATAAGTGAGGCATATAGGACTCCAAATAGCCGTGATAAAGAAAAAAAATCAGTAAGATGGAAAACAGAAAAATGGACAGATTTCTACACACATGTGAATTACTAAAGTTGAAGAAAGAAGACCTAAAAATTCTAAACAACCCAATATCAATCAATGAAATTGAAAACATAATAAAAAGATATAAACAATTAAAAGCCCAGGTCCTGATGGCTTCACTGCTGAATTCTACAAGACATTTAGAGAAGAACTATTGCCACTGATGTTTAAACTCTTCAGTGAAATTGAAAGGGAAACAATACTCCAAATTCATTCCTGGAAGCAAGCATCACCTTGACCCCAAAAGCAGAGAAAGACCCAACTGAAAAAGAGAACAAGAGGCCAATCTCACTCATGAACACAGATGGAAAAATACTTAATAAGATACTGGCAAACAGAATGCAAAAGATCATCAAGAAGATCACACACCCTGACTACATGGGATTCACCCCAGAGATGCAGGGATGGTTCCACATATACAAACCAATAAATTGCACTATATTAACAGAGCCAAGGACAAAAATAATATAATCATCTTAATAGATGCAGAAAAAGTATTCAACAAAATCCAACATGAATCCATGATAAAAAAAAAACACAAAATATTGGAATAGATGGTCTCTACTTCAACCTAATAAAAGCCATCTATGAAAAACCAACAATAGCCAATATCATACTAAATAGTCAAAAACTGAAATCCTTCACACTAAAATCAGGAACAAGACAAGGATATATACTATCACCACTCCTGCTTGATATTGTTTGGAAACACAAGTCACAGCAAGTATACAAGAGAAAGAAATAAAAGGAATAAAGATAGAAAACAAGTTAAACTGTCATTATTTACAGATGATATGATACTCTATATGGAAGACCCAAAGAACTCCACTAAAAGTCATCTAAATTTAATAACCAAATTCAGCAGAGTAGCTGGATACAAGGTCAACACCCCAAAATTAACAGATTCCCTATAAACAAACAACAGACTCACTGAGAGAGGAACTGGAGAAACAACTCCTTTTACAATAACATAAAAAAATGAAATACTAAGGAATCAACTTAATGAAAGAAATCAAAGACTCTGAATTCTATAGCAGTCTGAAAAAAGAGATTGAAGAGGATAGGATATCAGAAAATGAAAAGACATCCCTTGCTTCTAGGTAGGATGAATCAACATAGTGAAAATGGCCACACTTCCAAAACTGCTATATAGATTTAATGCAATACCAATTGAAATCCCAGCAGCACACTTCACCGACCTGAGAAAACAATCCAAAAATTCATTGGGAACAAGAAGCAAAAGCAATTCTAGACAACAAATACAAGGTAGGGGGTATCACAATCCCCAACTTGAAATTATACAACAAAATTACTGTGATAAAAACAGCATGGCACTGGTAAAGACACACACCTGAGGATCAGTGGAGCAGACTAAAAGATACAGAAACAACTCCAGACACACTCAGCCACCTCATCCTCAAAAAAGGAGCCAAACACCCTCCCTGGAGAAAAGACAGCCTCTTTAATAAATGGTGCTGGAAAAAATAGGTTTCAACTTTCCAAATATTATAACTAGACCTATATCTCTCACCATGTGCTAAATGAAAATCCAAGTGGATTAAAGATCTAAATATTAAAACAAAAACACTAAACTGTCTGGAAAAGAGATTAGGTAGAACTGTGGAAGACATGGGCGTAGGAAAAGATTTCCTGAACTAAACCTCAGTCACATGTGAACTAACACAAATAATCAACAATTGGGAATGCATTAAAAAGCTTCTGCACAGCAGGAGAAACGAGAGACATTTATAGCTAAATGGATGCACACTGGGGCCATACTCAACTGAAATAAGTCGGACACACATGTGTAAATACCAAATAGATTCTCTGGTGTGAGAAGCTGAAAGTGTAAACAGGATTAAAGAGATGCAGTTGAAAACAACACTGAGATTCCACCTCACCCCACAAAGAATGGCTGCTATCAAGAAGTCAATCAATAACAAATGTTGGCGGGGTTGTGGGGAGAAAGGAACCCTTCTCCATTGTTGGTGGGAGTGCGGACTGGTGCAACCACTATGCAAATCAAAGAGCTGGGACTACAGGTTCCATTTGACCCAGCCATCCCTGTGCTGGGTATCTTTCAAAAAGAATTAAAAGAATCATACCACAGTGATATATGCACACCAATGTTTATCGTGGCACAGTTCGTAATAGCTAAAACATGGAAACAGCCCATTTGCCCATCAGTTGGAAACTGGATAAAGAAGATGTGGTTTATCTATAAAATGGAATACTACTCAGCCATAAAGAATGAGAAATTAGATTCATTCATAGGAAAATGGATGCATATTGAGGATATACTGCTAAGTGAAATAAATAAGTCACACATGGGTAAATACCGAATAGTTTCTCTGGTGTGAAAAACTATAATAGTACATAAGATCCTAATGAGATAATTGACCATGTAAAATAGGAAGAAAAGGGCTAAAGGTGTAGGGAAAGTGGGAAGGGTAGGGAATGGTAATAAGGGAAAAGAAAAAAATATGAGAAACTGAAAAAATGGAAATAAAGTATTTGTAAATGGGGAGGGGAGGAGGGGGTGAAGGGAGGGCAGGGACAAGGGGAAAAAATGAGGACCAAGACTTGTCATGTAAAGGTACAAGATCCCAATGATGAATGGAACTGTACTGTATGCCTAAAATGTAGCATAGACTCAATAAAAGAAAAATAAATAAATAAAATAAGAAAGGAAAGAAAAAAAACAAAAAAATATATAATAGATAATTTGAAATAGCAAGAAAAGGTGCAAAGGGGAAGTAGGAGGGGTGGGGAAAGGAACAAATATGAGAAATGAAAACACAGAAACAAAGTCTCTGTAAATATGGAGGGATGGGAGGATTAAAGGTAGGACAGGGAAATTATGAAAAAAAAATAAGAAGGAGGGCCGAGGATTTAGCCCAGTGCTTCGGTGGCCTGCCTTGCAAGTGCAAGGACCCAAGTTCAATCCCCGGTACCAATAAATAAATAAATAAGAACCAAGATATATCATGTTAAGGTACAAATTCCCAATGATGAATGTCATCATATTGTATACCGAAAATGTACCAATGAACTTAATGAATTTAAAAAATGGATTTACAAAGATGAAACATTCTTTTAAAAACCAATATATTATGATCAGTTCAGCGTGAAAATAATCTATCTTTAAAGGGATGATTAATTGTATAATTTTAATGTTCCATGTCATAAATATAAAAGCTATAAAAGGATGAGCAAACTAAAAATGTATTTATTCATATTTTAAAATGCTTAGAAAATTTTACAGCATAAAATAGTAATAGTTAATTAGATAATAATTCCATACCAGCGCAACTCCTGCATCGTATTTATTACCACACATATATCCTGGGAATGTGGCTCCTATACGGGTAGGATGTTTCTCAAAACTAAAAAAACAAAAAGAATTTTACTCATAAGTGCATGTTAAAGTAGTATTAGTAATGATGTTTCGCAGTAGTATACATTAGTGAACAATGGCTCTAAGAGAAGTACTACTGTAAATTATACTAGATATTTTCTCAAACCTTCAGGGTTAGGAATATTCCAATAAACAAATTTTGAATGATTAACATTAAAGACCTAATAGTTTTTACAAAATATTGCCGCACTAATGGGTATAGTGTTCATTCTGGTTTCTTCAATATTTCCACTCTACAAATTCAATGTTCCATGAAAAAATATTTATTTACTGATCATGAGTATTTTTGCACATTAAATTCTAGAGAGCATGACAATTCAGTATATTTATTTTATGAGGAAATACAACTATGGCAATTAGATAAGAGATAGGAGTACAGAAATTTCATAACAGGTAATAAAATATTTTAAGCCAAAGGAAATTATACCATTTTTAATAAGCTCTTATTGTTATTTCATTTCTATTTATGTAACTTTACATTTTAATTATTTTTAAATTTTTTATTACTGTAGAACTATAACATGCAACCTGCCCTCCCACATTGTTAAGTGTTTGGTGCAGTGCTGGTAATGTAATCACTGTAGTTGTACACTGGGATCTTTTGCTAATTTTATGGTGTTTGATAAAAACTTTTTAAACTTTGCCTCACATTAGCTCCTTGAAGATGAGCGATCTTTTTCACATGCTGAGATACCTGATGAATTTATAGAATGCAATGCATGCAAAGTAAATTCTTATTTTTAATAATTAACATACTAAGTTATTTTAGGTTTTTCCTTTAATATTAAAAGAAGTAGAATATTACACTTACGCTAGTAAGTATGAAATATAATGTGGTTTAGGGTCAGCATGTTGATGTTTCCATTGTAGAAACCTAAATAAAACATCATCTGGATGTCCTGTAGTAGCAAATTTGTTTGTGTTTGACCAGAGTTCAATGGTAGATATCACAACAGTCAGTTTTAACTGGGTAAGCATCTAAAGGGAAAAATAAATGAGAAATTTTAAATACACTTCAAAATTAAATTAAACTTTGTACGACATATTTAACATAGTATTATGGTTATAGAGTCTTCCAGGGCTCAGCAAAATACCACACATATCAGTTCATAAATTCTGTATTTTTGCAATCTGTATAAGTAAAATGTTTTTTTAAAAACTTACAGTGTTAACAAAGCCAATGAGCCGAATAACCTTCAGTGTTACAGTCTTTACATCAGACCCCATGTAAACAAACTGCAAAAGATAAATTATTATTAAAAACAAGTGAATGTAGTGAATACATCACATGTCTTTACAGGTACAATTGCTGGACTCAAAAGTAGGCACAGATCTATATTCTAGAAATGCAGAAAATGTTTAAATGGTTTATAAATATTGACTTAAGAAAAGTATTCAATAATGCTACTTTTAAAACGTGTAATGCATTTGAGATTGAGAGACAGATGGTGTGAAGATGCTGTGTGATTATATCCACAGGATGACACCAATTTAAACTGCTATTTGTGCCCCAGTCTGCCTTCACAGGAGCTGAGGATACCAAGTGAAAAACCACAGTGCTTCATTTCTGTACAATAATAATAAAACCAGGGCAAGATAGAATTATTCACGAATATATTTGGAAATTTAAACACCCCTCTCAACAACTTCTGCAATACTGCAGAAAAAATTACCAAGAATTCAGAAAAACTTCAGCAACACCACAAACTTACACTGTCAGCAACTCCCTAACCTTTTCCTGTACAACAGTAGAACACACACATTTTTAAGCAACATATACCAAAGGGGATTGTATCTTTGCCCCTAAAATTTACCTCAACACATTTAAAATAATTCAAATCATACAGTGTTCCCTGACAACAGTAATGCAAAGTATAAAGAAGAAAAAAGATAATAGGAAAAATATCCAAATGCTTTGAAACTAAACAACACACACTTCTTAGTAATGCATGGATCAAAGGAAATTTCAAAAATACAAAGCAAAATGAAATGAAAATATAATATCCAAATTTATAGAACAGAGCAGTGATGAGCATTGATAACATTAGATGCATACATTTTCCTTTTTTTTATTTTTTTATTGGTATATTTTAGATATACAGTACAGTTACATTCACCATTGGGATCTTGTACCTTCACATGATGTATCTAATACTACTTCTTATGTGGTTTCATTTGGATTGGAACTATAGATCAAATTTTATCTTTTTAAGCAAATTTTTCTAGTAATAATTATTGGAAATCCCTTTTTATCATCTAGATTGCTTACTTGATAGGTTAACACAAGGCTTTCAAACTGAAATGCATCCTCAGCCCTTTTTAAAATGTTGTTTATTCTGAGACAGGAGCTCACTATACCCAGGCAGGGGTTGAAATTGCAATACTCCTGCCTAGGTTTTCCAGAATAATGGGATTAAAGGGTGGCATTACCACACTCAGCTTCATCTACTGATTTTCACCCCACAAAATCAGAATACACATTCTTTTCAGCTACACATGGATTGTTCTCCAAAAGAGACCGCATACTCACTCATAGAACATGTTTAAGTAAGTGCAAAGGAATTGAAGTTATCCCCTGTATATTATCGGACCATAGAGTGATGAACTTGGAAATCAATAGCAAAAGAAACCACAAGAGTTTCATAAACACATGGGAATTGCACACTTCTGAATAAGCAATGAGTCACAGAGGAAATTAAAGAAGAAATCAGACAGTTCCTACAATGAAATGACACTGACAATACAACATACCAGAATCTATGAGGCACAATGAAAGCAGTCTTATGAGGGAAATTCATAGCAGTGAATACACATATTAGGAAAACAGAACGAGCTCAATTACACATCCTGATGCTGGACCTCGAACTTCTAGAAAAAGAAAAGCAGGTCAAACCCAAAAGGAGGAAATTATAAAGATCAGGGAAGAAATTAATGCAATGGAGACTAAGAGAACAATACAAAAAATCAATGAAGCCAAGAGTTGTTTCTTCAAAAGGATAAACAAAATGGACAAGCTCTTAGCCAACCTTATCAAAAAAGGGAAAGAAAAGGCCCAAATCCATGTAATTAGGAATGAAAAGGGTGAAATTACATTGGACCCAGCAGAAATCCAGAGGATCATCGATACCTACTTTGAGAACCTATACACCAATAAAATGGAAAATACAGAAGAAATGGACAGATTCCTAGATTTGAATGAATTGCCAACCTTGAACAAAGATGACCTAAAAATTCTAACAACCCAATATCAATCAATGAAATTGAAAACATAATTAAAAACTTACCATCTAAGAAAAGTCCGGGTCCTGATGGCTTCACTGCTGAATTCTACAGGACATTTAGAGAGGAACTACTGACACTTCTGTTGAAACTCTTAAATGAAATTGAAAGGGAAACAATACTCCCAAATCCATTCCTGGAAGCAAGCATCACTTTGATCCCCAAAGCACAGAAAGACCCAACCTAAAAAGAGAACTATAGGCCAATCTCACTAATGAATAGAGATGCAAAAATCTTTAATAAGATACTCGCAAATAGAATGCAGGAAATTATTAAGAAGATCATAGACCTTGACCAAGTGGGATTCATCCCAGGTATGCAGGGATGGTTCCACATATGCAAACCAATAAATGTAATACATTATATTAATAGAGCCAAGGACAAAAACCGTATGATCATCTCAATAGATGCAAAAAAACATTTGACAAAATCCAACACACATTCATAACAAAAACCTCACAGAAAATTGGAATAGATGGTCTCTACCTGAATCTGATAAAAGCCATCTATGAAAAATAGCCAATATCATACTAAATGGTCAAAAACTGAAACAGTTCACACTAAAATCAGGAACAACACAAGAATGTCCACTATCACCACTCCTGTTCAATATAGTTTTGAAAACTTTAGCCACAGCAATTAGACAAGAGAAAGAAATAAAAGGAATAAAGATAGGAAATGAAGAAGTCAAATTGTCATTGTTGGAGATGACATGATAGTCTATCTAGAAGACCCCAAGAACTTCACCAAAAGTCTTCTAGACTTAATAATCAAAATAAGTAAATTAGCTGGATACAAGGTCAACACACAAAAATCAATTGCTTGCCTCTACACGAAAAACACTCACTGAGAGAGAAATGGGCAAACAATTCCTTTCACAATAGCATCCAAAAAATTGAAATACCAAGGAATCAACCTAAAAAAGAAACTAAAGACCTCTACTCTGAATTCTATAGCACTCTGAAAAAAGAGATTGAAGAGGATTATCAGAAAATGAAAAGATATCCCTTGCTTATGGGTAGGATGAATCAACATAGTGAAAATAGCCATACTTCCAAAACTGCTATATAGATTCAGTGCAATCCCAACTGAAATCCCAGCAACATACTTCACAGACCTGAGAAAACAATCCAAAAATTCACTGGGAACAAAAAGAGACCTAGAATAGCAAAAGCAATTCTAGGCAGCAAAGACAAGTTAGAGGGTATCACAATCCCCAACTTGAAACTATACTACAAAGCTACTATGATAAAAAAACAACATGGTAATGGCAAAGAAATAGACTTGAGGACCAGTGAAACATATTAGAATATACATAAACAACTCCAGACACAGACACCTCATCTTTGACAAAGTAGCCAAACACCCTCCCTGGGGAAAAGATAGCCTCTTTAATAAATGGTGCTAGAAAAACTGGCTTTCAACTTTCCAAAGATTAAAACTAGAACTAAATCTCTCACCACATACTAAACTAAAATCAAAATGGATTAAAGATCTAAGTATTAAAACAGAAACACTAAATTGGCTGGAAAAGAGGTAAAGTAGAACTATTGAAGACATTTGCTTAGGAAAAGATTTTATGAACAAAACCTCAGCTGCCCAGGAACTAGTACAAAGAATCAACAAGTGGAATCTCTTCTTATTAAAAAAAAGTTCTGCACACCAAGAGAAACAAACAACAGTGTAAAGAGACAACCCACAATGTGGGAAGACCTCCTCACCAACTCTTCCTCAGAAAAAGGTCTACTACCTAGAATATAAAGAACTTAAAAAAATAGACCTCCCAAATTTAAAGACCCAATTCAAAAATGGGCATCTGAAATGAACAGACATTTCTCAGACAAAGAAGTAAAAGCAGCAGGTGAATATATGAAAAAATGTTCAACATCACTGGTCATTGGAGAGATGCAGGTGAAACAACATTGAGATTCCACATCACCACAGAAAGAATGGCTGCTATCAAGAAATCAACCAATAACAAATGCTGGTGGGATTGTGGGGGAAAAGGAACCCTTATCCATTGTTGGTGCGAGTGCAGACTGGTGCAACCACTATGCAGATCAATATGGAGATACCTCAAAGAGCTGGGACTAGAGGTTCCCTTTAACCCAGCCATCCCTCTGCTGGGTATATTTCCAAAATAATTAAAAGAATCATATTACAGAGATATACGCACACCTATGTTTATTGTGGCACAGTTTGTAATAGCTAAAACTTGGAAACAGCCCATTTGCCCATCAGTTGGAAACTGGATAAAGAAGATGTGGTTTTTCTATAAAATGGAATATTACTCAGCTATAAAGAATGAGAAATTAGATTCATTCATAGGAAAATGAATGTATATTGAGGTCATACTCTGAAGTGAAATAAATAAGACACACATGTAAATACCAAATAGTTTCTTTGGTATGAAAAACTAAAAGTGTAAAGAAGATCCAAATGATAGAATTGACAATGTGAAATAGGAAGAAGAGGGCTAAAGGTTTAGGGAAAGTGAGAAGTGTAGGTGAAAGGAATTAAGGGAAAAGAAAAAAATATGAGAAAATGAAAAAAATGGGAACAAAGTTTTTGTAAATAAGGAAGGGAAGAGGGGGTAAAGGAAGGGCAGGGACAAGGGGAAAAAATGAGAACCAAGACCTGTTATGTAAAGGTACAAGATGCCAAGGATGAATGTAACTGTACTGTAAACCTAAAATGCACCAATAAACTCAGTGAGAAAAAGAAAGAAGTAGAAATAGCAAATGAACATGAAAAAATGTTCAACTTCACAGGTCATTCAAGAGATGCAGATGAAAACACTGAGATTCCACCTCACCCCAGAAAGAATGGCTGCTATCATGAAATCAATCAATGATAAATTCTGGAGGGGCTGTGGGGAAAGAGGAACCTTGCTCCGCTGCTGGTGGGAGTGCTGACTGTGCAACCCCTGTGGGAATCAGTATGGAGACACCTAGGACTGGAAGTCCCATTGACACAGCTATTCTCCTGCTGGGTATCTTCCCAAAGAATTAAAAGAATCACACCACAGTGATAGAGGTGCACCTATGTTCACAGCAGCACATTTCATGATAGCTAAAACTTGGAAACAGCCCAACTGCATATCAACTGGAGACTGGATAAAGAAGATGTGGTTTATCTATAAAATGGAATACTACTCAGCCATAAAGAATGAGGTGTTTATAGCTAAATGGATGCTCATTGAGGTGATACTCTTAAGTGAAATAAGTAGGGCACATATGTGTAATACCAGTTTCTCTAATGTGAGAAACTGAAAGTGTAAATAAGAACTAAAAGGTATAATAGATAATTTGAAATAGGAAGAAAAGGTGCAACACAGAAGGGGAAACTGGAGGAGAAAAAAAGATGGGAATGGATTTAACATGAGAAAAAGAAAAAAAGGGAAACAAAGTCTTTGTAGCTAGGGAGGGATGGAGGGGATGTAGGGAGGGCAGGGGAATGGGGAAAAATAAGAAGCAAGATAGATTACATAAAGGTTCAAATTTCCAATGATAAATGTCATTACATTGTATGCCTTAAATGTACCAATAAAATTAATTACTTTTTTAAACCATATCTTCATTCTGATTATGTATATATATATATATATTTCATGTTTATTATCCCTTTACTACTGTCAAACAAACAACATTTCTCATAGGGAAAAAAAGAAAACTCCTGTAGATGGACTTTTGCCAATTTGTATTTGATTTCCTGTTGTCTTTTAATAAAATAGGTTTCACAACTTTTTAATTTGGAAAAAATCTGTCCTTTTGCAATGAACGTATTGATATATTCTCTTAAGTGCCATTCTTAACTCCTTTACATCTTCAATTTTAAGAGGTATAATTAATCCTTTTTCCAAAAGTTTCACTCCTACATGTGGTACGAAATTCCACACCTACAAAACCACTCATAATTTTAAATATTATCAAATTTACATCATTATTTCATTTTAATTTTCCCTTTGAAAGAAAAGTAATCCCATACAAAGTGGATACAAGTCACAAGGGTACAGTCACGTCAGTGCTCACAAAGCTTTGAATTTTGAAACATTTCAAATTTTGGATTATTTTATTAATTAAGTTGAACCTATTTCTTAAAACAATTTATACTGGAAACTATGAAGTACTGCACACAAAAAGCATATAGCTCAACTAATCATCACAAAGCATATGAACATGTTTAACCAGCACGCAGATCAAGAAGTAGAACGGACCCAAGATCTCCCAACTGCCTTCTGGCTCCTCCCAACCACTGTTTGCTCTCTGTCCTCTTCCCCAACTTTTAGAGATTCACACTGATTCTTTTTGAGATTTATGCATGTAAGCAAAATTTAAATTTTCCCTGAGTGACCTCTTCTGCTCATTTGTTGAACTACATTATATGCTTCTACAAACACCAATAGAAAGGATCATGTGACTTTTCCTTTTCTTCAATTAATTTGTATTATTTTGCTGGGGATTTGTGTATCTGATACAGGTATTTAATCCTGTAAAAAAGAAAGGCCTCAGCTTTGCCCGTGAGACTGATGTTATATTGACTACATGTGCTTTGAAATCTTAGTTTTAAAAAAAGTAGTGAGAAAATTGGTTAAAAAGTAATTTCATACAGGAAAAAAGCTCATGGCATTTTTAAGAGAGCTTTATTGACAAAAGACAACTAACTGGACTAGAAACATTTGAGATTGACAACAGTGTAAAAAGGCCTCTGGGCTCCAAACAAATACATAAATTGTTTTTGTTTTAAGCCACTAAAGTTTGGAGTGGTTTGCTTTGCAGGGATAGATAGCTTAGTTTACAGTTATCTGACAGTCTGCTTTGTCTGAAAGTAGTCTAACTAGGTCCATTTTTAAAATTTCTGGTTTTATGCTGTATTCTCTCACTCTTTTGCCTTCATTATCTCTGGAGTATGTTTTAGTATGTCGGTTGTAAGCACAATGTGTGCGTGTATGCTGTGTGACTTTTTCTCTGCTTTTAATCTTTTTTCTTCAGGTTTTAATTTCACTATTTATTCCCTCTCCATGTCATATAATTACTGACATATATGAGTTTAAGCCTCTCGTTTCAAACATAACTTTTAAATTGGTCTCACTTTTACAAAACAGGTGCAAAAAGCATAATGTATTTCTTCCTGATTACTTTTTTTCAGGATTATGCTTAAATTTTTGCTTGCTTTCTCCTAATTGTTCTTGCAATTTTATAAAAATCCAATCATAGGATGTGCCTTTGGCTTTATAGTAGGTCAGTTTATCTCCTCTAAAATACACTCAATGCTTTAGTGAACCATCCACTTCAATTTTTGCTGCTACTGTTAACATTTAGCTCAGCTTCCCTGACTCCTAGTCCTTTCTTCTGAAAGCAGCAGATTCCCCTAAGAGGAAATAAAATATTTTTATTTTATAACTATTTTAACTGTTTAAATTAAATCTTTTCTCCATCTAAATCTTTTCATAACCATGGTCAATGTTGATTTCCTTTCCTTCCTATGGATTATAGGGTCAGTTATGGTGGATATAAATCTACAACAAGCATGAGGTATCCTGCTAGAAGTATCATTCTTCCAGAGAAACAGTTTGTACCCATCAGACAACTCGGACCAAAGGTAGCCTTATAGACTGTCATCCTAACCACATAAGTTAACATATATTCAAAGCCTTAATTTATATGAGCTTTAGAAGTACAGTCATGATAAATTCTTAATATGACAATTTCATTCATTTGTTTTTCTTTTCTTTCATTAATCTAGAACTGAGAATAAAAAGATAACGAGTTTTCTCCCTTTACTTGGAAGAAGTAGCATATCTGTCTTAGTGATTACCATGCCAATTAGGGTGAGGTAGTTAAATATTACTATTTTAAGTAGGGCTTAAAGGTTTGAGGGGGTTGTAATCTATCCTTTCACTGAGTAAGATGCCACTTTGGCAAAAGAAAAATAGTCAGTAAGATTTAGGAAATTCAGATGCTTCATCTTCAAAAAGTAACTAGACATCCAGAATAGAATTAATAAATTTTTTTAGTCATAATTTTTATAATGTGTTATTTGGAAATGCAAAATAAAAATGGTTGACTTCCCTTGCATCATCAGAATTAAGTTAAAGACCAATAATAAACAAATCTAAAATGATAATAAAACAAGTAAGACATACCAGATTTTTATCCACAATGATATACATTTCAATGTATCGAGGGAATAACTTGGTAAATTCAGTTTTCTGAAAAACATACAAAAATGCATCCTAAAGCTTAACAAAACTTTACCTTCTACTGAAATTATATTCAGAGGTCAACTTAATGAGTATATAATAGAGCTGTTTTCAAATAAAAATTAGGTACTAATCTGAGTATTCTAGTTCAAAAAGACTTGTCAAGCCATAAGGGAACTCTGGTATCTTTCATTGCTGTAAGACTTGAAATAAAATTTTAGGTTTAGCAACATAAAGCATTCCTTTCCTTATCTATGTGATAATCTACATACTAATCATCTATATATTCATATGATTAACAATTTAATCATATTAATATTTGTATTTATCTATACATTAGTACTAATTTCTGTATTAGTATGACTAATAATCATATGAACAGTTGTATTACTATTACAGATTTACTGTTCCCAATTATAAAGAAACTAATTTTAGCAAACAATGTACTTTAGAAAAAGAATTCTAAAGGTTGCAGTCAGGGGTAGTTCATGAGAGAGAGAGGTGTTATTTATGATAGCCTACAGGTATTTGTGGAGAAAAAATTCATCACTTTATTTTACATGTACCACATATGAGCCACTGAAATTACACATTTTGAACTTCCATGGGACAAGCATTTAATATTTTAATTTAAATTATAGAAGTAATTGAGAAAAAGTATATATTATATTCATTATCTAAAAAGTCCACGTGACAATATTTTCATGTATTTAGTCCTACATGTATTTCTAAGATTAATTAATTACCTAGGATTTTGGTAAGCTTGTGTCTAATTACGAGCCTAACAACAAATATAAATTTCTTTACCAGCTATTTAAATCCATGCAGGCTCATGAAAAAAGTAATGTTAAGATTACCAAGTCAGCGATCACACCGGAATGTAGAAACATTTTTCATTTAACAAAACTACACAAAACCAGTTGAGAGTTAACACTTACATGCAGACCGCTTCTCACTTTACTTTTTGCAGTATTAAGCCAAGCGTAAGTATCATTTTCTCCAAAGAGAGGGACATGAGTATCATTATTGCTTTCTTCATAGATCATGTGCATAAACCCTGACATAGCCTCCAATGGTTCAATTCCATATGAGATGTTTTTAAACTGCATTACTCCTCTAAATGTAAGTTAAAGAAAGTTTGAGTTAATTTTCCAAAACTATAATCTATTTTTTATGAGAAATTTTGGCCAGAATTTTAAGATTCCAAGTCACTTTCATTTTTCAACTGTATCTCTTTGTTCTTGAAAGTTTTATGCCAGAAATAGACCACTGTGCCACAAGACATGTCTTGCTTTCTATTACAAATCTTTGTAAAAATTATCTTAAAGGATTCACGGTAATGGCATAGGTTTGGTTCTTACACAAGTTGAACTGTGGTCAACACAAGTTGGCCCCTTTCTGGACCAGTCTATAGCATATAGCAAGCACTGTCTTCTTCAGTTTTAGGACTCTTATATTTGTAGCCCAAGATACATGTAAAATAAAGTGATGAACTTTTACTCCACAAATACCTGTAAACCTAACTCTCCTCTGATATCTATTGCCCTGAATATTTTGTTTATGTGGACCAAAGGAAGCACTACATGCCTAAACATGACAGCCAAAAGGTCTGTAGGTTCAGGGTTTCTAGAACTGAAAATAATTCTAGGAAGTAAATATCAGGGCAAAAACAGAATTTTGGAAAGGTAAAGAAACAGAGAGACCAATCTATACTCCCTGCATTCAGGACCTCAAAGCTTAGAGTAACAGATCCTGTCAGGATCACCCAGCGAGCCTCTTACCAGGGAAAGACTATCGCTTCTCCAACTTTTGGTAAGATCAAGTGTAGTAACAGACTGCCAGGGTGACCGATTCTATTTTATTACAAATTTTGGTAATAGAATGAGGAGGGATAAATGGAGGATTAATTCATAGGCTAGCAGAATAGCACATATGCAAATTACATTATCATTAATCCACAACCTGAGTCCTGAACAAGTCGTTAGCGCCACAAGAGAATGTGGAAAGCCTACGACGTATCCACTGTAACTGCAATCCATCTGCAAAGAAGAACCCACAAACATAAACAAATGGATGACTTATTTTTGAAATGCATTACCAGATATGTGATCTATATTTATTTCTTTAACGATCTTAGTATTTTCCTGTGATTGTCAGTTATCAGACGAATTTGGGTCAGGCAGAAATAAGCAACAGTATAAGATGCTCAATTTCACTGGATGTGTAAAGGAATATTCATGTTCATGTACAGTATTCCTATTTTTAAACACACAATAACAAATCTAGAAGAAAAACACCTAATACTTACCCGAGGTAACAAAGACTGAGAATGTTGAGCACCATTTTTGTCATATGAATAAACAACAGAAGCTGAAGCCAGAAATGATCTAGGCAAAAATCACAAGAACATGCTCAAAGGAAGAAGGAAAATAGAAAACATTACTCTTCACATACACATTGTCTATGTACTGAGGAATTTAAAGTAGGATCAACTCCTTGAAACAGCCTAACGTCCCAATGTTTCCCTGTCATATTAATTGCATGCTGAGGGTGGTAAATTTACTACAGTGACACATCAGACTAAGATGCAGGTCAGCAAACAACTCAAGTTCCTGGATATCTCAAAGGGCCGATTTCCAGCATAGAGCCTTCAAATATACGTCTTCATTATTCATTGATTTCAGATTATTTTACTTGAATCTCAAAATTAAAATGCAGGGTTAAGACTAAACATTAAAAGGTTTGTTTGGTCTCACTACAAATTCATATCTCCTAAGCTTGGCTCAGTTCTGACTTCCTTGAATAATCTTGGTCAAAACCTCTTTTCACTCCCTTCAGTAGCTTTTCACAACCTTGACACCACTCCCACAAGTTATCCACACGACTGGCTCTCAGATCATGGGCCCACCCTCACTTCTTTTCCCAGGTGATAACTTTTTTTTTTTTTTTGGTACTGGGGATCGAACTCAGGACCATTGCAGGTGGTGGAACCAGTGAGCCAAATCCCTGGCCTTTTTTATTTTAAGCAACCTTTACACCTGTGCTTCAGAGCCTATCCTATGCCATGAACTAAAGATACACACTTTCTCTCCTACAGTTAGAGACTCTCTACTAGCTTTTTATGTTGACACTATTCTAAAAGTTGCATACAAATCCTGTCCATCCTAAATAACTACCCCCAACCAAGTCAAGTCTCACCATTTCTATGGTAAAAACCTGAGTGGCTTTTATCCAGAGCAGTCTACATATATATGCTCCAGTTTCTCCATTCTTATTCATTCCAAAGCTTTTCTGGAGAGCATCGATATCACTAGTGTGTCCGATTTGAAGCTTGTCTTTTTAAATCATTGCTTTATTGGGCTTCTGTCTTCTACTTAAAAACTGTGAGTGCTCAGTCCAGTCAATTTAGATTATACTTGATTTTTCTGCTATTCTTCTGAGTGCTGTGATGCCTTTAGCTTTATCGATTCCAGGTTGGCTGTGCTTTACTTTCTACACGTCCCAGAAATCTTAGTCTTTCCCCAGGTTTCACCTTCAGCTACTAACCTATTTATAAACATTCAAGGTACACACTCTCATGAAAGTAGTAACAATACTGTGACCAAGCTACTGCTCACTGTTAAATCTATATCCCTATGGAAACTCCTCAGAAATTCAAATTCCTATATTCGCTTAACCAGTGTAAACAGCTTATTTGGATACCATATAGACACCAAACTTCACTCATTCCTCACACAGAGTATCTGCCTTGTTCACATCCCTTGGCTAACTGCGCCATAACCGCAGCAGTCACATCACCTGTGGTTCCTCCCTGTTTCCCGCTCTACCAACCCCACCTGGAGCCTGTGGCGCTTTCTTTCCCAGTGCTGTAAGGCAGGGCCCTACCACGACTCACCTAAACTATGACAGTCGAGCACTTAGCCGCCCTACTTCCGCTTGTGATCCCTGACCAGAGGCCTGGAAGACCCAACTTGACATGATAAGTACATGATTAAAACCACGCTTGGCCCCCAATATCCTTCCTGTGTCATTATACATTTTATACAGTCTGCGTCCCACCTACTTTCCAGAATCTTTCACCTCTAGCCTTCAAAAAAACACATCATTTAGTGATTCACGGCTGAGTTTTGTCTTTCCAAAGAGCCACTCTGCCTCACATCTCCCTGTCCTGCAAATTATTTTCTCTCTAAATAATATGGCTTCCTGCCCTACCTCTTCCTTTACATGGCTACGTACTTTCCCAACACATAATCACCTCCTTCCTCTTCCCAGAAGCCTTCCCAAACTTCCAGAGAATACTTCTTCCATGCTTATCGTATTATAATAAAATTCCATTCCTCTATTCACGGGGCCGAATATCTGTACCTCCACTCCAGGTTTATGTCTTACTTTTATTCTCTTTTTAAGCCTAACCCTTTCCCCAGTTACCACTATAATGAAATGCTATCGATGCATTTAAATTGAAATGGTGCTGATCATAACTATTTTTAAAAATCAAGAAACCAAAGAATTGAAACTTTCAAAGGCAAAATACTTACTGCTTTCTAAAATACTTACTGTTTTTTAAGGTGGACAAAGTATGGTTTTCCTTTTACTGAGATGATATAAGCAACCTGGAACAAGAGTATCCCCAAAATCCAATAACACTTGTAAACAATATACACTAAATTATGTATCTGCTTTTATGCTTTAAAAGATTGACAAAATTAATAATACGTAAGCAGCTATATTCGTTTCCCTTCCCATGTGGATATGTGAAGCTTCACAGTTCTAAACTGAGAACTCGGTAGAAGGCACGCCTGGCTGCTACCCATCACTCCTCTCATGTTGGGGGGCCGGCCTGAGGTTCACGGTTAGCTTTGGCTCAGCTTTTCCCTACCAGATGACAATGCCAGAGACAAACAGCACGACTCATCTTACTGCCTCACCCTAAACCTGCCTGAGGGAATCCTAGCTCTTTGCCATTCCCTTAAATATTGTGCTTGTGGGATCCTATCCTTTACAGCTTTTATCAGGATGTTCCCAAAGCCAGGCGTGGTGGCACCTGCCTGTTATCCCAACACTCGGGAGGCTGAGGCAGGAGGATCGCTGTGAGTTCGAGACCAGCCTGGGCTACACAGTGAGTTCCAGGTCAGTCTCAACTACATAGTGAGAAAAAAAAAAAAAAAAAAAAAAAAAAAGATGTTTCCCCAAAGCCTCATTCACTCTCAGGCTTTTGGGACGTGCCTGGATCACGGGTGTGTAATTCTGGATTATAAGTGTGTGATACCTGGATTAGGTGACTGGCTGGTTTAACTTCGTTCTGGGTGTGGATGGTGGGAAGGGCTGCCCTGAATGTGGGTGGCACCAACCAATGAGCTCCTAGCCTGAATGGAATAAAAAGAAAAGGAAGGCTCTCTGCACACTGCCTCCTGCCTGCCCCTATGCACTGTTCCTCCTCTGTCATGCCCCTCTGTCACGCCGCCCTGCCTTGAAACCAGTCCATCGTGGACTGAAACTTTTACAAATTGTGAGCTAAATAAACCTTTCCCCAATTACATTATTTTCTGGATCTCTTCTTGTATCTACTGATGAAATCTTTTCAGGAATTGTGGTCTGCACAAAGGTTTTATGAGTATCTAAAAACAGAAATAAATGATATTAGTTTGGTAAGTGTGGTCCTCTTATACATGTTTCTCTAGGTTAGCAGCTATTTTAAAATAATCTACACATCCTTCCTTTCTATGGTCTTTTTAGCCATTCTTATCTACAAATTTCTGAACTCTTGTCAATACCTCAATTTTTATCCCCCACCCACCCAAGCACACAAAATAAGCAAGCAGTTCAAGAGCTCAGCACCGCTGACGTCGAGGGCCAGATAACAGCCCTGTCCGAGACACGGAGACACGAAGTGAAAGCGCGTGTTCATCGGGAAAGCGAGGTCATTTTCGGGGAAGAGTGCAGCATATCAGACACACAATTTTCAGTAGGGCGGGGAAAGGGTAGCAGTTGCCAGACCAGGAAATCGTTGATAAATAGCTTCTTTGTGGTGATGCAATTATTCCTAGGGTGGCGGGATTTTGTGTGCGGGCGGGGTGAACGCAGGTTTCCTATCTGTTCATCTTACAGATAAGAAAACCGCTCAGGGAAGGGGACGATTCTGTAGCAGAGGCGCCTCTGTCGGTCTGCGGGGGGGAGCGGCCGGGGCTTAGGCCGGGCCGGGCGGGAGGAGGAAGGCTGGGACAGCGGGG